GATGATGATGATGATGATGATATTGGGGGACAGGCAGGTGTAGCTTGGTGGTAGAGCACTTGCTTAGCATCTGTGAGGTCCTGTGCTGGGTTTCCAGCACCGCCTACATAAATACATAAATAGAACTTAAGGTTCTGACACACGGCTGTTTCCTGGGAGACTTTGTGTGCATAAGCAGTCATCACTCTGTGTATCTGTCCTCAGACTTCCTCAGCCCATGTCACCTCTCTTTCCTCTAGAAGACCCAGCCCCCTTCCCTTTGCTTGGCTCTATTTCAGCGTCACACCTTCTTCGAGGATCTTGTTTTGTATAAGGCTTCTTTGGTTTTGCATATTAATAAATTTGTTCCATTTTTTTCCTGCTTGTCTATTGGACGTTCGTTACATAAACTGAAATCATCCAGCCTCCAGAGGGAAAAGAGTCAATTAAAAATTTCTGTAAGCAATTTGCAGAAACCACACTATATCTGGTCCCTGGCCAGATATAGTGTGCTAGGATGCTTTCTTTACAATCTGCTTATAGCTTACTGGTGTTAGCCTCGCTTTGGTATCTTGGGGAGGCGCTCCTGTTCACATTTAGGATTGGCATCGACCTCCAAGAGCTGCCCTCTGACCCTCAGGCTTGCAGCAGAATCGCGTCAATCACAGCCAAAGAATAAGTGCATCAGGGAAACCCGCACGGCCCGAAAAGCCCTGAGGATTCCCAGGATCGTTTAGGGGAAGGGAGCTGATTAGCGTGTGGTTCTCCTTTAGTGCCACTGTACTTGAAACACTGCTTTATCACAGCATCCAACGATCCTGTATTGTTATCTGCAATTATCTACCAGTACACTGCCCTCCAGGGCACCGGACTGGCGCTGCTATTCTTTCCCCAGCTCAGCCTCCAACAGTGCCAGCAGATAACTTCGTGATCTTAGGCAAATTATTTATTGTGCCATTTAATTTTCCCCGTTTATAAAAAGGACATAACATCCCTACTGCATTCGGTTTGGGGGAGAAGTGGGGACAATCCAAGGGGAGCCTAAGACGGTGAACATTTGTTAATTAACCTGGCATACTTCCACCGTGTGCACTCAACAATCAAACACCAACTGCGCTCGGACCCTGGGACGCTGGCTCCGGAGCCCCGCGACAGCACGCGTGATCCGTGGGCCTTGTCCCTCGGTCCGACTCAGGATTGGACAAAGACAAAGCCCCGCCCATACCCCCTCCGGATCTCATCAGCGGTTGGCTCCGGACCTCGCGCAGGCTTTTCTGTTGCTAGGCTCGCGGGCAGGGGGCGGTGCTAGGCTGCGCGTGCGCAGCTCGGGGATGAAGCTTTCCGGTCGGGCGGGAGGAGGTGACGTCAGGAGCAGCAAAGGCGGCGGGCGGGCTGCGGCCCCCACGGCGCGGGGAGCGTGAAATCTATGGGCCCTGCAATCGCGTCACCAGCCGGCGACTGAGCCTTGGCGGTGCGGGCCGAGGCGGCGAAGGCGGCATCGGCAGCGGCAGCGGCAGCGGCGGCGACAGCTCTGGGGTTTGCGTCTCGGGGTGTGTCGGCCGCCGCTGCTGCTTGGGCTTGGTATGTACAAATGGCTGGTTAGGATCCTCGGCACCATTTTCCGTTTCTGCGACCGCTCGGCGCCCCCTGCCCGGGCCCTGCTGAAGAGGCGGCGCTCGAACAGGTGAGAGAGGAGCGGCCGAGCGAGCGAGCGAGCGAGCGCGGCCCGGGCGTCCCCTCCCCCACGGCC